CGAGTGCAAAACGAATCCGAAAATAACAATCCGAAAAATATGTTCTGGAGTTCAAAAGTGCGAACAACATTCATAACCTAGGATAGAACATAATGAAAACGTGCGAACAAGTTGTCAGGTTGTCAGGTTTTGTGTCTGCTTTTGTTTCTTCATATGGGCGTCCAGTTAGACTTGAACTCTCAGCATTCTCAGATATCCCACCAAACTCCTGATATTATCCTATTAATACAACAACAGAGGGCCAATGAGACGGCGCTCTAAGAAATCAGGAGTCTCCACATGAAAAGTGAACAATAGAGAAATCTAATTAATCAGGATTAGTAGATAAATGTAGACCATGTGTTAACAAGATATAATGCACATCACCATTTCTCAAATTTCAAAACATTGAGATTGATTTGAAACTATTGTAAAGGAAAAGCCCTTTCAAGTGCAGTAAAGTAATGATTACGAAAGCCAACAAATGCCACGGGTCACAGCTTAGGATTCACATTCACGTTTTAATGACAATCAACTTAAAAGAAAAAAAAAATGCAAATGAATAGACAAGATATCACCAGACCTTATGTTTGTGATATTCCTTGCATCACAATGAATCAATGCATACTAATACAAGAAGTAAATAATTATGTAGCAAACGGTAGATGCTGAAGAATGAATTGGAAAAGTAGAAGCTAAAAGCACCATTCTCCTGCATTCATTCGTATTTAAAAATCATGAAACAATTACTATAACATTTAAGAATGAAGAACATTAAGAAATGCCTCAATTTAAAACCCAACAACAAAATAATAGCAAAAATATGATACTGAAATGAAATCCCAAAGCATCACAATCTAACAGGCTCACATGCAATAATATGATATGAATGAAATAATAGCAAAATTCAACATCACAATATGAGAAGCTCACATCCTAGATTACGATGTGGATAAATAAGACCAAAATCCAACAATAACACAATCTATTAAGCTCACAACCAAGAATACATTACAAATTAAACAAATCTGAAAAAATAAATGAG